ATGCGATAAAATTGAAATAAGAATACAAGTTGTCCGATCAAATTAAGGATCAATTTGAAACGAACATGTAAGTTAGGTAAACATAAGTTATGCGATAAAATTGAAATAAGAATACAAGTTGTCCGATCAAATTAAGGATCAATTTGAAATGAACATGTAAGTTAGGTAACTGCAATGAAATATTACCGTTGTTAATTTCCCGTGCCATTCTGTCACATTTCTTCCACTTTTCAAAGTGTGGGCGGTGCCGCTACTCCCTCTCTCTACATCATCATCTATGAACCTTATACTCATTTGAGGTCCTCATTTTGCCAGATGGGATCACAATGTTGACAAATTTCTCGCTCGTCGTTTTCATGAATCCAATAAAATTCAGTGTGTTATGTGTGGTCGGTCATATTATATTGATTGATGTTCGTCACTATGCCCTACTGATAGCTCAATTGCGTGTATATAAATCAACGACTTCCGCTTGCATTGAATACATCACAAAGCAGTTAAATCATCGCTCAGAGAGAAAAAGGGGGCCCAAATTTGCTTGTTTTAGTGTGAGAAAGAGAAGAAATGGAGAGCAAAGAGGAGGATGTACGAGTGGGAGCCAACAAATTCGCCGAGAGGCAGCCGATTGGCACGGCTGCTCAAAGCCAGGACAAGGACTACAAGGAACCACCACCGGCGCCACTTTTCGAGCCGGGTGAGCTGTCCTCGTGGTCGTTCTACAGAGCTGGCATAGCAGAGTTCATAGCCACTTTCTTGTTCCTTTATATTACAGTTTTGACAGTGATGGGAGTTAGTAAGTCTGATTCCAAGTGCAAAACTGTTGGAATCCAAGGTATTGCTTGGGCATTTGGTGGCATGATCTTTGCCCTTGTTTACTGCACTGCAGGAATTTCAGGCAAGTTCTTTTCTATATATATAATTTGCAAATTTTGCTTGTATTTGCTATGATCTTCAACAGTAACGATCCGTCTTAAAGCTCAAAGAGGGAGTCGTCAGATTTGAAGATTGGTTTGTGGGGTAGATATGAAAATACTAACCAACATATATATTGGATTATGGTCTCTGTCTCTGCAGTTTAGTCTTTGATAGTATATGGAATTTAGGTTTTGCCATTAAAATTAGAAATTACCTAATTCAAAATTGAGTTGATTTTTCATGAATTTCAGTTATAAGGTTTTAATTCCATTTGATATTAACATGGCAATTCAGTAAACCAAATCGTTTCAGCAATCAAATTTATGATGAACAATTTTAACAGTACTACTAACCTATTTTCTTCAAAGAAAAGGGCAAAATTTTAATGAACTGCTTGTTTTGCAGGGGGGCATATAAATCCGGCAGTGACTTTCGGGCTGTTTTTGGGGAGGAAATTGTCGTTGACCCGGGCTGTGTTCTACATGGTGATGCAGTGTCTTGGAGCCATATGTGGTGCTGGTGTGGTTAAGGGATTCGGAAAGACCCTGTACATGACCAAGGGTGGTGGTGCTAATGTAGTAGCCCACGGTTACACCAAGGGCGATGGCCTAGGTGCTGAAATAATCGGAACTTTTGTGCTCGTTTACACTGTCTTCTCTGCTACTGATGCCAAACGTAGCGCCAGAGACTCGCACGTTCCTGTAAGCACTCCTCTTGTCTTTGTAGATTGAGATTGAACAAGAATTTGCTTGTGTATCTGTAATCAAATTGTCTTTTCGTTTTGTAAGAACTGATGAATCAAAAAATGTCATTGTTGATCAAGAAAAAGTTTGATTAATTGGATTCTCATATGCTGTAATTCAATGGTTTTCAGATATTGGCCCCCTTGCCTATTGGGTTTGCTGTGTTCTTGGTGCACTTGGCAACCATCCCTATTACCGGTACAGGTATTAACCCCGCCAGGAGTCTTGGTGCAGCAATCATCTACAACAAAGACAAGGCATGGGATGATCACGTAAGCTAAAAATTCAACTGCCTGAATTCAACAATTGAAATATTTGAGTTAAGGGGGGCATACCTAGACAATTATATCCTAACAAATTTTTACGTTGTTCACTTATCACAATCCTCCTTTTATCTATTTTGGGACTACGACGAAATTTTTTAATAATCTGGCAGATGAGATGATAAGATTGTCTAAAGTTTGTTCTCACTCTTATCTTGCTCTGATATGATAATATGCAGTGGATATTCTGGGTTGGACCGTTCATTGGGGCAGCACTTGCAGCTCTATACCATGTGGTGGTGATCCGAGCCATCCCATTCAAAAAATAAGCGATGAGATTAAAGCCTTCTCAATTTGTGGCCAACTGATTCAAGCCCATGATGGAAATCGAAGGCTGAATTTTAATCTTCTGTTGTATTTTCTATTTTTTCTCTGTTTGGTTTGTATGTAGATGGTGACATGCTCTTAGAAAAGGACTGAACTTTCAAAAGATAAAATCCAGACAGAGCATGCTCATGTGCTCATAAAAAAAAGTGGGGACTGTGTCTGTAATTTTCTGTGGCTGTGCAATGAGAAGTTGTCTTAATAATCAAACTGACCAAACCCCCACCCCCACGTCTCTTTGTTATAATCATCTTATTATATTCCACTTAGTCTCTCTCAACCGCTGGCACACACTGAGGTCGGCTTGGCTGTCCTTTCCTTCAGTAGCACTTCACTTTCACAAATGGAAAAAGGTTAAGGTGTAATATGTTGGCCCTTCTTATTTGTTCAGAAAAAGGTAATAAGCTGAAGTGTCAAAAATGTATTGAGAGAGTTGAGGAGTCAATAAATTGGAGCTGGGTTTGGGTTTGAATTATAGTGCGGTTATGGCTTTGTAAGTGGCATCATAGACCAGGGCCGAGCCAGATGAGTTACGGTGGACCACTAGGAGAAATTATTGACGATAATGTCGAGGGTGGTCAATAGGGAAGTCACGTTTTAGGCTTTATTTGATACGTAGAATTGAAGAGTACAATAAATATTAGAATAAGAAATTATGTTATAGTAACGATTGTAAATGACATGTCATCATTGACTCATTGACTAGTGCTTGGAGGTACGAGCGGGGGAGGACCACCCAAGAAAAACAACTTGTTTAGCCTATTGCATAAAACGTGGAAAACAAATGAAACTCATATTTTGAATCTAATAATTTTTGTAAGAGTAAAAATTAGTTATTGTATAGTTGACAAATGAAGGGATGTGGAGATTGATGCCAAGGCTTTTAGATTACATGGTGCAATTATTCGACTTGGGCACTTCTTCGATGAACCAATTTTCTAGAATTGTGGAGGTTAGATATTTGCTTTTTTGGAAAAATATTGGGTTCACATAAAATACTCCAAGGGAAAACTATAGATAAAAATATAAATTTTACTTAATAGATGAGAATGTATGTTTGCATGTGTTGATATTCAAATGAGACGGTTCATCTTCAATTCAACATTTTAAATATTTGTATATTTAACTTAGAGATGGTAATATGTATTTATGTATCGCAACAATGAACATCGTTAAAATGTATTTATGCAAATTATAAGTCGAGGTTGAACATTATTAACTAGACAATGAAGCGAAGAATTACTGCAAATATTGTTTTCAATACCATTTAGTATCATGGGCTGTACTTGGTGTACATACGGGTGTCCACACCCCTCACATAATACTAAATGGTATTGAAAACAATATTTGCAGTAATTCTTCGCTTCATTGTCTAGTTAATAATGTTCAACCTCGACTTATAATTTGCATAAATACATTTTAACGATGTTCATTGTTGCGATACATAAATACATATTACCATCTCTAAGTTAAATATACAAATATTTAAAATGTTGAATTGAAGATGAACCGTCTCATTTGAATATCAACACATGCAAACATACATTCTCATCTATTAAGTAAAATTTATATTTTTATCTATAGTTTTCCCTTGGAGTATTTTATGTGAACCCAATATTTTTCCAAAAAAGCAAATATCTAACCTCCACAATTCTAGAAAATTGGTTCATCGAAGAAGTGCCCAAGTCGAATAATTGCACCATGTAATCTAAAAGCCTTGGCATCAATCTCCACATCCCTTCATTTGTCAACTATACAATAACTAATTTTTACTCTTACAAAAATTATTAGATTCAAAATATGAGTTTCATTTGTTTTCCACGTTTTATGCAATAGGCTAAACAAGTTGTTTTTCTTGGGTGGTCCTCCCCCGCTCGTACCTCCAAGCACTAGTCAATGAGTCAATGATGACATGTCATTTACAATCGTTACTATAACATAATTTCTTATTCTAATATTTATTGTACTCTTCAATTCTACGTATCAAATAAAGCCTAAAACGTGACTTCCCTATTGACCACCCTCGACATTATCGTCAATAATTTCTCCTAGTGGTCCACCGTAACTCATCTGGCTCGGCCCTGGTCTATGATGCCACTTACAAAGCCATAACCGCACTATAATTCAAACCCAAACCCAGCTCCAATTTATTGACTCCTCAACTCTCTCAATACATTTTTGACACTTCAGCTTATTACCTTTTTCTGAACAAATAAGAAGGGCCAACATATTACACCTTAACCTTTTTCCATTTGTGAAAGTGAAGTGCTACTGAAGGAAAGGACAGCCAAGCCGACCTCAGTGTGTGCCAGCGGTTGAGAGAGACTAAGTGGAATATAATAAGATGATTGTCTCTCAATACATTTTTGACACTTCAGCTTATTACCTTTTTCTGAACAAATAAGAAGGGCCAACATATTACACCTTAACCTTTTTCCATTTGTGAAAGTGAAGTGCTACTGAAGGAAAGGACAGCCAAGCCGACCTCAGTGTGTGCCAGCGGTTGAGAGAGACTAAGTGGAATATAATAAGATGATTATAACAAAGAGACGTGGGGGTGGGGGTTTGGTCAGTTTGATTATTAAGACAACTTCTCATTGCACAGCCACAGAAAATTACAGACACAGTCCCCACTTTTTTTTATGAGCACATGAGCATGCTCTGTCTGGATTTTATCTTTTGAAAGTTCAGTCCTTTTCTAAGAGCATGTCACCATCTACATACAAACCAAACAGAGAAAAAATAGAAAATACAACAGAAGATTAAAATTCAGCCTTCGATTTCCATCATGGGCTTGAATCAGTTGGCCACAAATTGAGAAGGCTTTAATCTCATCGCTTATTTTTTGAATGGGATGGCTCGGATCACCACCACATGGTATAGAGCTGCAAGTGCTGCCCCAATGAACGGTCCAACCCAGAATATCCACTGCATATTATCATATCAGAGCAAGATAAGAGTGAGAACAAACTTTAGACAATCTTATCATCTCATCTGCCAGATTATTAAAAAATTTCGTCGTAGTCCCAAAATAGATAAAAGGAGGATTGTGATAAGTGAACAACGTAAAAATTTGTTAGGATATAATTGTCTAGGTATGCCCCCCTTAACTCAAATATTTCAATTGTTGAATTCAGGCAGTTGAATTTTTAGCTTACGTGATCATCCCATGCCTTGTCTTTGTTGTAGATGATTGCTGCACCAAGACTCCTGGCGGGGTTAATACCTGTACCGGTAATAGGGATGGTTGCCAAGTGCACCAAGAACACAGCAAACCCAATAGGCAAGGGGGCCAATATCTGAAAACCATTGAATTACAGCATATGAGAATCCAATTAATCAAACTTTTTCTTGATCAACAATGACATTTTTTGATTCATCAGTTCTTACAAAACGAAAAGACAATTTGATTACAGATACACAAGCAAATTCTTGTTCAATCTCAATCTACAAAGACAAGAGGAGTGCTTACAGGAACGTGCGAGTCTCTGGCGCTACGTTTGGCATCAGTAGCAGAGAAGACAGTGTAAACGAGCACAAAAGTTCCGATTATTTCAGCACCTAGGCCATCGCCCTTGGTGTAACCGTGGGCTACTACATTAGCACCACCACCCTTGGTCATGTACAGGGTCTTTCCGAATCCCTTAACCACACCAGCACCACATATGGCTCCAAGACACTGCATCACCATGTAGAACACAGCCCGGGTCAACGACAATTTCCTCCCCAAAAACAGCCCGAAAGTCACTGCCGGATTTATATGCCCCCCTGCAAAACAAGCAGTTCATTAAAATTTTGCCCTTTTCTTTGAAGAAAATAGGTTAGTAGTACTGTTAAAATTGTTCATCATAAATTTGATTGCTGAAACGATTTGGTTTACTGAATTGCCATGTTAATATCAAATGGAATTAAAACCTTATAACTGAAATTCATGAAAAATCAACTCAATTTTGAATTAGGTAATTTCTAATTTTAATGGCAAAACCTAAATTCCATATACTATCAAAGACTAAACTGCAGAGACAGAGACCATAATCCAATATATATGTTGGTTAGTATTTTCATATCTACCCCACAAACCAATCTTCAAATCTGACGACTCCCTCTTTGAGCTTTAAGACGGATCGTTACTGTTGAAGATCATAGCAAATACAAGCAAAATTTGCAAATTATATATATAGAAAAGAACTTGCCTGAAATTCCTGCAGTGCAGTAAACAAGGGCAAAGATCATGCCACCAAATGCCCAAGCAATACCTTGGATTCCAACAGTTTTGCACTTGGAATCAGACTTACTAACTCCCATCACTGTCAAAACTGTAATATAAAGGAACAAGAAAGTGGCTATGAACTCTGCTATGCCAGCTCTGTAGAACGACCACGAGGACAGCTCACCCGGCTCGAAAAGTGGCGCCGGTGGTGGTTCCTTGTAGTCCTTGTCCTGGCTTTGAGCAGCCGTGCCAATCGGCTGCCTCTCGGCGAATTTGTTGGCTCCCACTCGTACATCCTCCTCTTTGCTCTCCATTTCTTCTCTTTCTCACACTAAAACAAGCAAATTTGGGCCCCCTTTTTCTCTCTGAGCGATGATTTCACTGCTTTGTGAGGTATTCAATGCAAGCGGAAGTCGTTGATTTATATACACGCAATTGAGCTATCAGTAGGGCATAGTGACGAACATCAATCAATATAATATGACGACCACACATAACACTCTGAATTTTATTGGATTCATGAAAACGACGAGTGAGAAATTTGTCAACATTGTGATCCCATCTGGCAAAATGAGGACCTCAAATGAGTATAAGGTTCATAGATGATGATGTAGAGAGAGGGAGTAGCGGCACCGCCCACACTTTGAAAAGTGGAAGAAATGTGACAGAATGGCACGGGAAATTAACAACGGTAATATTTCATTGCAGTTACCTAACTTACATGTTCATTTCAAATTGATCCTTAATTTGATCGGACAACTTGTATTCTTATTTCAATTTTATCGCATAACTTATGTTTACCTAACTTACATGTTCGTTTCAAATTGATCCTTAATTTGATCGGACAACTTGTATTCTTATTTCAATTTTATCGCATGACTTATGTTTTCTGTTTGAGTTTAACCATTTCTGTCTATAATCTCACGAAACCAATAGAATTTGTCACTTGGCTGCCGGTGGAATATGTAATCTTAAGCCGTACAATATAAATGTAAATGTTAGAAGATTTATTATTTCTAAATGAGAACTGTGATTTGACGAATGATTTTTTAGCACCCAAAAAAGTGTTTTGCAAAAATATAATTTAGTAAAAGACATCGATAGAGACCAAAGAGCGAAAGTCGCTCAATTGCTTGCTAAATCGTGCCCATTTTCAAATTTATGCTATTTTATTACCTCATCTAGTAAACGTTGGATGATCCACAAGAATATAGCTAACCTACCCTAGCCCCTCACCTGTTGAAGTCTCTTTACCTAGGTGAAGTGTTCTTTGATATCGGTTTGTATTCGACAACATTATTTATCTACACATTTTGTAGAATCAACAAGTACTATACACTTGTTTATCATTTATTTTCATTGATTTATAATGTGTACTTGTTATAAACAACTCTGACACATGCCTATTTTGGTGGCGGTTAGAATCGAAATTGTCAAATAGAAACATAAACATAAATTGAGTGATTAAGTTTAAACAAATTGAGTTTAGAGGACCAACACAAAACAATTTTAAGTTGGACGACTTCTTGTAAAATTTCCCCATTTAAGAACTCGACAAGGTGGGTGGACTGGTGAAGTGCGACAAGATTTCCCGTACTAGTACATGTAGGTTTGGCAATGGAGAAATTGGCCACGCAATTCCATTTTAATATCACGTTTTAGCTATTTGGAAAGGAATAATTTTCTTGGACAGCCCCTGTCCAAACAGGGTCGACGTGGTGACCTCCTATTAATTAGTTGTTTGTCGATGTAGACAACCGGCCAATAGGAGGCCGTGTTTGGACAGGGGCCTGTCCATATAGCACAGCCCATTTGAAAATGTTAGAAATGCAATTTTTAATTCCAAGAATTCTATAGCAGATTTAACTCTAATTTACGTACTTTTAACTCGAACCGAAGACCAAATATTAGTATAAATATGGAAATGTTTATTTAACATTATCTGTGGAATTTATGCACCTAACGACCCAATGTAACATAAAATATAGCCGAGGCCTACGTATGCTAAAATTAAAAATAATGATAAACTACAAAGAAGATAAGTTATAGAAGTCTTGTATTAAAATTTCTGAATCTAATAAAAACATTAATTATTTAAAATAAAAAAGCTGGCCTTAACATAACTTTAATTATACTATTTCAGTAATTAACTTCTTGTTTGGAGCCATAATTTATTTTAAAGTTTAAAGAGCTGACATCAATACCTTATCCTTCCACTCATTGGCTCATTATTATATGGAAAAAATAGTAGCGTGCGTCCCTAACTCATGAGTGAAGTTGCAAGTTGACTCCTAACTCTTTTTTTTTCTTTGCAAATTTATCCAAACATTCAAATTTGCAGCACTTTGATTTAAAGTGGACGATTTTGATTTATGTTATTGTTAGAAAGGATAGCATAATGCATCTTGGACACTGTTTTATAGGTAAAAATAGGTGGGAAAAAAAAAGACAGAAGATTTTATTGAAAAATAATAATAAAAGAAAATAATAATAAACGTATGATTCTATCTTTTCTCTCTCTAGATATATCACGCCATTTTGCCCAATAGTTTTTTGACCTACTTCCTCCATTTTTCAGCGATTCATATATTTCAATTCCAAACGTCCCATTTATTTTTTGCTCCTCCTCCACCATTTATTTCATTTTATCTCCTTGAATTTAGAAGGCACGTGAGAAGCAGGTATAGAAAGTTGAGAGAAGAGAAAGTTTGTAATTACTATTATTTTTATTGATAATAATAGAATTATCATATTTTAAATTAAAATTCTTGATTTTATAATGTCAACATGGATACAAATTACGTACCTTTTTTTATCGTGAATGTCTGAATCAGCTTACACACACCTCGACTAATTTCACGGGATCCTAAATTTACTGTCGGGTACTCACCTAAATGGTCATGAGAGGACTCGATACAAATTACGTACTTGAACGAACCAAAAGAAAGGGGTTGAGAGGGCTAAAAGTTCAAAAGTTGAGAACAAATTAATCTTGAAGAAGAGACTAAGAAGCTGTTTACATAAAATTTAATAAGTTGGGAACCTCAGCTGCAATATTCTATTGTTTTAAATATATTTGTAATCATAAGGTGCTTGATGATTATCACTGCCAATGATATAATGGCATATTTCACTCTGGCACCGTTAGAAGGCTAAACAATAAAACTTTTAAAATTCGATTTTATTAATAAAATTAGTTAATTAATTGATCATTCATTTATTTATTTCAGTTCTAATTGTCACAAGCTGTTGTAAATATTGGAAGGATGAAGAAGAAATAAAAAGGAAATTCACAATAAGTATGGCAATAATAGGAACAGAATCAAAAAATTGTAACAACAAATGTGAAGGTTTCAACGTGGGATCATTGTCCTCAAACATTATTTGCCCCTCTCCGATGTTTATGAGATGCTTAAAGGTATTCCGTCAAATGGTTTGAAAGATTGTAACAAGCATTGTAAAGAACTCACCAAAGGTGAAATTCTTCCAAGACTTGAAGAACACGAAGATGGAATGAATATGAATGTAAACCAAGACTTGATTGTTTTTGAAACAAAATATGGATTGTAAGATGTTTTCAATGTTTGTAATGTATTTGTTTTGATTATTCATCACCTATTTATAGGCCTCAATCAATACATCAAGAAATGGTGACAAAACAAGATAAAAAGTTGCAACTTTTAATTCAAAACGGCTCCCAAGTTCCAAATTGAAAAACCAGCCAACGACTATTTTTTAACACTATGCGTACACATAGTATAAATCTTGCATACGCATAGTAGAAGCAAAATTTAATTCTGATTTTGCCAAAACATATCTCGTGTACGCACAAACATAAGCCTGTGGAAAACCTTGCATTTTTCAATTTCTTTTGATTCTACCAATTCCACAATTGAGCCCAACAATTAGTCCATTATCATTCCATTGATTTTGAACAAATATTCAACAATCCCTCACTTGCTCAAAATCAATACGATCACATATTCAAAAAGACGACACTTATACATAAGGATTAGATATTTTTTAATTTGAATCTAACCATTGTATAATTCAAATAAAGTAAAGTCGGAATTAGAGGTAGTGTGGAAGCTTTGAACCAATTATTCCTTATGACAATACTGGTAAGAACACACGCATAAGTATCACGTGTTCTCAAGTTCCTTAACTTGCTTCGCGCTTTTATGGCCTTGTGCTCATCTTATTCAATGAACTTTTAAGAGAGAAACTCCAACTCTCTATCGAGACGACACCACCTTAAAATTCATTTAGGTGAAGTTCTTTCAATATCTTTGTTACTTTTAGAGATACTTGTATTTTAGCATTGAACTTCATTAAGAGTATTAAACTCAACCCTCACTTCAGTAACAACCAACATTATTTAATTAGGAAAGGGTCATTGTGGATTTAAATAATGCTACAACTATCCACATATCGAATGACTTGTTGTTACCCTTTGAACCCGTGGATTACTTTTTAAGTAATGACAGGTAGGGTTGCCGTCATTGGTGGAACTTTTTAATTAAGGAGTTTTAACCCCATCCTACTCGAAGTAGACGCCACTAAATCTCTATTTAGAGGTTTAGTCAAAGGATCCGTCAAATTCTCGATTGACCTTACATAATTTAAGGAAATTGTTTCGTTTTTGATTAATTTCCTTATATAGTCATGTCTTAGACTTTCTATAATATACTTTATTGTATGCTTTTGCTAATATAGTTTGACTATCACATATGATAGGTATTGAAGAAATATTCTTCGATCCGAAAGGTATTTCATAAAAGAGATCCTTAAGCCACTCAACCTCTTTTCCGGTATCCGATAGTGCTATAAATTCAGATTCCATGATCGAGTGTGTTATGCATGTTTATTTTTTTGATTTCCAAGAAACACCACTTCCTCCTAGAGTGAACACTCAACCCGATGTGGATTTACTTTCACTCGTGCTGGATATCTAACTAGCATCGTTAAATCCTTCCAATATCGCCGAGAATTTATTATATTATAAGCCTAAGTTCTTGGTTTTTTTTAAGTATCCAAGAACTCTCCTAATGGCTCTCCAATGATCATTGCTTGGATTGCTAGTAAATCTATTAAGTTTACTAATTGCGTATGTTATATCTGATCTTGTGCATTGAACTGCATACATAAAAATTCCAATAGCACTAGCATATTCCAATTGAGCAATCGTCCTTTCATCATTCTTTACGAGTTTTGAACTTGTATTAATTGGGATACTATATTCTTTTATATTCAAGTGTTTGAACTTGTTTATCACATTCTCGATATAATGTGATTAACTTAGGTGATAACCTCCACTAGTCTTTGTGACTTTGATACCCAAAATGGTATCCACCTGTCCAAGATCCTTCGTCTTGAATGTGGAAAATAAAAATCTCTTCGTTTCTTTTATCCCGTCCATGTGATTACTTATAATTAACATGTCATCAACATACATGCATATAAATGTCACGTAATAATCACACATTTTAGAATATGAACATTTATCTAAGCTATTATGTTTAAATCCAAATAATATTATTGCGAAGTCAAACTTCTCATGTCATTTCTTAGGTGCCTGCTTCAAGCCATATAATGATTTTACTAACTTGTATACCTTATATTCATTTTCAGGTAGAATGAACCCTTCGGGTTGCTCCACATAGACCTCCTCATTTAAAAATGTCGTCTTGACATCCATTTGATGAACATGCAAGTCATATATTGAAGTCAATGCGAATAATATCCTAATTGATGTTATTCTAGCTACCGGTGCATAAGTGTCGAAATAGTCGATTCCTTCCTTTTGTCAATATCTTTTGGCTACTAATCTAGCCTTGAAGGTATTTAGAGAACCATCAACATTATATTTCCTCCTAAATACCCATTTACATTCAATAGGTTTGGATTCTATTGGTAAATCGACAATTTCCCAAGATTTATTAGACATTATCGAATCTATTTCATTTTTAATTGCATCTTTCCAAAAAATGCTATCACAAGAAGCCATAACTTCTTTATATGTTTTAGGATCGGTTTCCACTTGTAAAACAAAAGGAATTGTTCTTACAACATTCAATTCATTTCCTTCTACTAAATAAAAAGGATATAAGTTGAGAATTAATTTCATCCGGCCCCAAAGATTTCTTAACTCGAGTTCTCTTACTTCTTCGCGGTTCACTGGACTCATCAATATCTTTAGAAGACATTTCATCACGTGTTCCACTTGAACTAGGGATATTTTCAATATTTTCCCTCAATTCATTATTCGATGATAACAAATCTTCAAAGAACTCTACATTACTTGATTCGATAATCACATCGGTTTCCAAGTTTAGCAATCTATAAGATTTGCTATTATTAGCATATCCAACAAAAGCACACTTAATGTCTCTTGGACCCAATTTGTTCCAAATAAGATTTGTATTTTTGTAATAAACAAGATATCCCCACACTTTGAAGTATCCGATGTTCAATTTTCTTTCTTTCCACAATTCATAAGGAGAAACATTTATATATTTAGAAGGAATCTTATTAAGTATCCTACATGCACTTAATAAAATTTCACCCAATAAATTAAATGACAACTTAGTAGATATAAGCATGGCATTAATAATTTCTACTAAGGTCCTATTCTTTCTTTCAGTCAAACCGTTTTGTTCGGGTGTTCTAGGTGCAGAACATTGATTTATTATGTCATGTTGTTCACAATATAAATTAAATTCATTAGAAAAGTATTCACCACCTCTATCACTTCTTAGGATCTTTATTTTCTTTCCTAGATGATTTTCAACTTCATTTTTATACACCTTAAATATGTCAAAAGTTTCATATTTATGTTTCATCAAGTACACTTATGTATATCTAGAAAAATCATCAATAAAAGTAATGAAATATATATTTCCACCTCTAGTTAACATGCTATTTAATTCACATATATCTGTATGAATTAATTCCAAGATATTAGAGGTCCTTTTCACACTTTGATATGGCTTTTTAGTCAATTTTTATTCTACACATCTTTTGCATTTATGTTCATTATTTTCATCATATGAAATCAAATCACATTTTTCCATACGTATCATAGTACTTTTATCAATATATCCTAATCTAGCATGCCATAATGAAAATAGATCAACAACATAAGCGAAATTAGTTTTATTCATTTCCTTGTCAACGGTACAAAGTTTGACCATTCTTTCACTAGAATAACATTTTCCAACAAATTTTCCATTAAGGGAGAGTACAAGTTTACCGAATTCATACACACATTTGATACCCAATTTTCGTAAGAGATTACCACTTACTAAGTTCATATTCATATGTGGAACATATAGTACATTGGTAAGGGTAACGATTTTCCTGGAAGTGAAGATGATATCAACATTTCCCTTTCCAATAACCTTGGATCGAACTTTGTTGCCCATTTGAATCTCTTGGTTTTCATCCACCTCATGATATGTTTTGAATACAGTTTTGTCATATGATACATATACAGTAGTACAAGTATCATACCACCATCAAGGAACCTTTCTCTTGATTGTATTTATTTCGCTTACGGTGACCACAATTTTATCTTCTTGGATGGAGTTCACTTTGCCCTCGAAATTGTTTTGTTTTCGGTGTCTACAATCTTTTGCATAGTGTCCAGATTTTCCACACACAAAACACCCTCCTTTGGTCTTTTTCTTGGACTTGTTAAAGTTTCTCGAATGCTTCCTCTTGTTGAATTTTGTTGGCGGTTCAGATTTTTCAACAGCTTTAACTTTGGAAGTTCTCTCAAAGGAATTTTCACTCTTGTCACGCAATTTGGATTCTTCCTTGATTTGAAGATGCTTTTGCAATTATTTCAAGAAATAATCTTCGGAACTATGCATGATCTTCTTCCAGTATCCTTTCCAATCCCCTGGAAGTTTAGCAATTATGGCTTCCACTTGAAAGGTCTCCGGGATTTCAATCTTTACCGCTTTTAGTTTATTGACAATGACTTGCAATTCAGGTATTTGGGGAAGAAGAGGGATACTATCAAGGAATTTAAAGTTGAAGTATTTAGAAATTAGAAACTTCTTGGTACCTTCATCTTCCGCTTTGTACTTATTCTCCAATACTTCCCAAATTTCCTTTGCAGAAGTTGTGTTTGTGTATAAGTCATATAAATAGTCCGACAAAGCATTTAGTATGTGACCGCGGTATATCAATTCATCTTCTTGTCGTTTCTGTCTTTCAGCCTTGACTACCTCCGTCTCTCCATTTGTAGGTTCCGATAGTGGAGACAATTTTAGATCCAAAATATAGAAGATCTTCAATGCAGGAAGTAGAAATTTCAACTTGTCCTGCCACCGTGTGAAGTTTGTACCATCCAATCGATCCAACCGCACCAAGTCTTGATTCATAAGTTTGATGATTGCCATTGTAGTCTCATTCTCCATTTCAGGCAATTAAAGTTTGAGATTTTTGTAAATATTGGAGGGATGAAGAAGAAACAAAAAGGAAATTCACAATAAGTATGGCAACAATAGGAACAAAATCAAAAAATTGTAACAACAAATGTGAAGGCTTGAACGCGAGATCGCTGTCCTCAAATGTTATTTGCCTCCTCTCCGATATTTATGAGATGTTTAAGGATATTCCGAAAAATGGTTTGAATGATTGTAACAAGCATTGTAAAAACTTTCACCAAAGCACAAAGTGAAATTCTTCCAAAACTTGAAGAACACGAAGATAGAATGAATATGAATGTAAACCAGGACTTGATTGTTTTTGGAACAAAGTATGGATTGTAAGATGTTTTCAATGTTTGTAATGTATTTGTTTTGATCATTCATCACTATTTTATAGGCCTCAATCAATAAATCATGAAATGGTGTCAAAACAAGATGAAAAGTGGCAACTTTTAGGCCCTGTTTGGCACCCATTTTTATCAAAATGCATTTTTCTCTCTTCTTTTCAACCACACATTCTTTATTAAAATAATATTACACGTAAATCAAAAAAAATTTCTTATTTTTCAACCACACATTTCCCATCAATTTACTATTCAAAAATGCATTTTCACATAAAAATTCCTACCAAACACCCTCTTAATCTAAAACGGCTCCCAAATTTCAAATTGAAAAACTAGCCAACGACTTTTTTTTTAACATTATACGTACGCATAGTAGAAGCAAAATTTAATTCTGATTTTGCCAAAACACATCTTGTGTATGCACAAAAATAAGTTTGTGTGTATGCATGGACAAAAAATCAAACTTTGCATTTTTCAATTTCTTTTGATTCTACCAATTTTACAATTAAACCCAACAATTAGTTCATTATCATTCCATTGATTTTGAACAAATATTTAACACATGCTGCATCGCAGCAAATACTATTTATAGATAAATGATCGATTTCTGAAAGCAAATTCTTAAATTTTAGTCGAGCAAAAATTTAGGACACAACGTCATAAAATAGAAAAATCTCATTTTGAAATAGTCAATTCTAGCTAAATTCATAACAAACTTAATACTATAACATATTTTGTTTGTGCGACCAGATATCCATTTAAATATAGAATCAAATAATCGTGATATGGTCGTGCAACTAAGATAAGATACTTTCGAAGGTCAAAATTTTTGAAGTGACTTTTTTTTTTAATTATATAAATTCACATAAAAGTTTTATTCAATCCATTACCATTCAAAAGAAAATAAAAATCTCTTTCAATTGATTTATATTGAATTTTTTCTCATCAAAGAGGATAAAAACATACACTCCTTTTCCTTGGAATATCATTTTAATCTAAGGTTTGCCTATGAAAAATTAGTCCAAGGTACAAAAAATTGAGATTGGCTTTAATTTGTTAGTTAACCCAAAAGAATCCCAAAAATGCAATGGTTTTTCCTTTTGATGAGCCACTTAAGGCTAATTATATTCTCACAAGTTTTTTAAGTTACATCACATTTTAATTGCACTTAAAACCCTCTAGATTGGTTAGTTGTAGCATTTATGTTCTCAACTTTTTTTATCGAAATTTTATCAACAATCTTCAATTATTTAACATTTATAGTCTCTAATAATAGATCCGTCCATAAGGTAGATTTGAAGGGAGTAAAACAACTTCCTTCCCATCATATTTAAAAAAGAAAAAAAAAATACTCAAATGCGAAAAAAAAAACAAAAAAAAAAATTCTCATTTCAAAAAATGGAAATAGAATATTTTGATGGAATCATCAATAAATACGATATGTGCTAGTTTACGAAATGTTAGAAAAAATTAATAAGTAAAATTGAAAATTTTAAGAAATAAAATACAATCCACTCAAGTGATCATGTCTTTCACTGAATAAGTCAGTCTATAGAGCAATTTAAGGATCTTCTTAAAGAGAGCAACTTGAACCCACTAGTTTCCGAAGAAATAAGGGGTTTTGATGCTTCTACGGCACCTTCTGTATAGCAATTTATACAGTCCTCTCATATGGGTGGGTCCCACGATTATTTTAATCGCGGGCCTCACTCCCTCCATGTAGGATTACAGAATAATGACAAGAGTCACGAAAGTGCAAAATTGAACCAAAATATTGAAATTTGAAATTAATCATGATTTTCAACATAATTATGAGTGTTTTCACTAACAAAACGACTAAAATGTCCCTAAAAATAGTCTATATTTAAAAATAAATAAATAAATAAAAATTGAACACAAGATCATAAAATAGATAAATCTCATTTTTTTAAGAATCAATTCTAGTTAAATTCGTAACAAACTTACTATAACACGTTTTGTTCGTACAACCAACTATTCATTTCAATATAGAATCGAATAATTCTATATTGACATTGTTGTGCAAATAAGATAATGAATCATGCTACAGGTTCTGCTCCTGAGCTGAGGTGGCAATCACTTCGGCCCTTGATCATTTTCATGTGGGGGCCCCTACATACACATCCAGGGGTCGAAATTTGGCCACCTCGGCCCTGGATTGGAGCCTGAGTTCTGCAACTTTATTCTAAGATAATATATCTTCGAAGGTCACTATTTTTCAAAGTGATCTTTTTTTTTATTATTTTATAAATTCACTTAAAAGTTTTATTTAATCCATTAATATTTAAAAGAAAATAAAAATCTCTTTCAATTGATTTTATTTTTTTTTAAATTTGTTTTTCATCAAAGAATATAAAAATAAAATCCACTCGATTGTAGACATAGACACCAACTTTAATCCCTGTTTGGTCCTCATTAAATTAAATTTCATTTTTTCCCTCTTATTTTCAATCACACAATATTCCATAAAATAATATTATACGTAAATCGAAAACTTTTCCTTCTTTTTCGACCACTCATTCTTCAAAAAAAAATTATTCCACCCATTTTAATTTAAAAAAATGTGGGCCAAACTAAAGTTTAGTTTGCATTCTGACGCAATCAAATCAACGTAATCTTCAATACAAATGCATGCATTACATAACAAATTGCATAAAAGTATCACGAAAATACAAAACTCAACCAAAGTATTGAAATTTGAACTTAATCATGATTTTTAGCATAATTATGAATTTTTTTCAATCACAAAATGACTAGAATGTCCCTAAAAATCGTCTACAAAAAAAAAAATTGGACATGGGATCATAAAATAGAGAAATCTCATTTATTTTTAAGAGACAGTTTTAGTTAAATTCATAATAAACTTACCATAAAACACTTATCTTCGAAGGTCACGATTTTTCAAAGTCATCCTTATTTTTTTTTTGAAGTATATTAATTCACTTAAAAGTTTTATTCAATCCATTACCATTTAAAAGAAGGGGAAAAAAAATCTCTTTCAATTGATTTTTTTTTCTTCAAAGAAGATAAAAATAAAAGCCTTAGCTCGATCGCAGACATAGACACCAACTTTAGTGCTGATTTTAACCCAATCAAATCAACGTAGTCTTCCATACAAACACATGCGTGTACATAATAAATTACATGACAAGCGTCACGAAAGTACAAAACTCAACCAAAATATTGAAATTTGACCTTAATCATGTCTTTGAGCATAATTATGAATGTTTTCACTCACAAAATGACTAAAGGTTCCTAAAAATAGTCTATAATAAAAATTGAACGCAATTATGAATGTTTTCACTCAAACTGAAATCAAATGGTTAAAAGCCTAAAGGAAGAAAAAATTTAGAGATCCAATCTATATAGCACTTTCTAAATATCTACCTTGGATCAAAGCAAAATTTATGATTGACACACTCGACAATCTTAGTATTCTCAAATTAAAGTGCTCTTTTCGGCCGAAAATTCACTGAACTTAGGTCCATGTCTTTGATTAGTTACTGAATTTAAAAATATCGAGTTTTTATCACTGAATTTAGGTCCATATTTTCGATTGCTCACTGAAATTTAAAATGTTGAGTTTTGACCACCAAACTTTGGAATATGTCGTACGTTACTCACTAGCATATTTGTTAAATTTTGAAAAATATCAAGTTTATAATGAGTAATGTACTGCATTTTTCAAAGTTCAGTGGTCAAAACTCAATATTTTAAATTTCAGTGAGCAATCGAAGACATGGACCTAAGTTCAGTGATCAAAACTCGACATTTTAAATTTTAGTGATCAATGAAAGACATGAACCTAAGTTCAGTGACCATTGAAACAATTAACTCGAACTTTAACAACAATCAAGGATGGGAGGTAGATATGCTGGTGATGGAAGTTAAGATAAAACAAAGGGCTAAAATAAATCATGTCAACAGAAATTCAAGACCTAAATACCTTCAAACTTGAATATAATAATTAAGGTTCCTAGTTACACACCTTAAACATATTGGCAGGACAAGTCAGTTGCACACTTTCAACAAATTTGTGTCTAAATCGGACCACTTACACCGCCCTACTAGAGTGTTTTGAATAGACTCACTACAATCCCATGTATGTGCCATGTAAGACAAGATACAACAACTAAAACTCTAATAACATTTGGATTTATGGAGATACAACCAGAGAATTAACTCTAGTTTTTGGTGCTTCATCTTTGTGAGAACAACAATTTATCTTCAAATCTAACATATATATACAACACTCAAAGACACTAACAACTGGACATCAATGTTTCATCGATCAAACGCTCATAACCATTAACCCTAGATATTCAACACAGAACACCCAATTTACCCATGAATCTACACGGACGCACAGAGTCTCTTCTATGGACCAGAAGGACTCAACGTTACCACTAATCTCAACGCTCTTTCCACTAATTTCACAAAGAAACACTCACTCTCTAAACCGATTAAAGAGAAGAACCAACATCAACACAGACGTTGAAGGCGAAAGAGAAAGAGAATAGAACTCTCTAAAAACCCTCGAAAGAAAGAAGAATGAAAAGTCTCTGGCTGTTCAGTTTCATCAAAGAATATATACATCGAGATTAAGGCAACAGATCATCCAATGGA